ACCACAATTACAAAAACTGACACGTGAACATGTTTTAGCGGCCAATTCCAATCAGGATGGTGACGCTAGATTACCTTATGATCGGTATTGCTCAGCTTGGTATTCAACAAATCATTATAGAAAGGCTTATAATGAGAGTTTTCATCCTCTCGACGATACTCGTTATTGGCCGGATTTGTATATACCATATATATTACCACCTCAATACAAAAGACAAGCGGGACGACCTCGCTCTGTGCGCATTAGAAGTACTATGGATCGAGGTCGGGAAGGAGTAGCGTCACAAATCAGATGTGGACAATGTAATCAATTAGGGCATAATAGGTCTCGTTGTCCATCAAGAGCAAGTAGATAGCAATTAGTTGGTAAAATATTTTTTATTTCTATCTCTATTTTTTATTATTATAGTCTTATTGATTTGGCATAAACTAGTAAGTTAACAATTATATGTGCATGTATATACACGATTCTTCCTGGGCCAGTTACTGATAAAGTCCTCTATGATCAGTCACGCCACCTTTCAGAGAGCATATCATTTACATCGGTAATGATTCTCTATTTATTAGTCATAAGTTTACAGACACATATTAATTATTCATTGTTATATTCTAATATTTGTTTTTATTTTTGTGCAGAGAGGACAAGAGCTGGTTATGATTGATCATAGCCTTGGACATACGCGTTGACCACTTGATGATCCTCGCATTATTGCTCTAGTATCACAAGCTGGTTTTCTCACTTGCTCAAAATTGTAATGGATGAAGCTCGATTGGGCTCTGCTTAATGTGTTGATAGATAGATGGAGGCCAGAGACTAACACTTTTCATCTACGTGTCGGCGAGCCAACTATTACTCTTCAGGACGTAGCAGTGATCCTTGGTCTCCGCATTGATGGCCCTTGTGTTACGGGGACTGATATGCATGCTTAGCGAAGGGTATGTGATGATTTGTTAGGACTGTCTCCGAAGTCCTTGCCTGGAGGATATATTAGATTGAAGTGGCTAAAAGAGAATTTTGCAAACCCCTTGCCAGAAGATACATCAGAAGTCATGATCCAACAGCATACTAGAGCATATATTTTGCACATGATCGGGATGCTTCTTTTCCCGACTCAAGTAAACATTAAGTGCATTTGAGGTAAGACAACTTATTATTGTTATAATACAATTGAATTTGATAAGGAGAGATTTTTGCTCACTATTTTTATAAAATATGACTAACGCATTTGATTATGTGATATGTGGTTACCACTTCTCGAAGACTTTGACATGTGTGGCACATTATCATGGGGTAGTGTTGTTTTAGCATACCTATATTAAGAAATGTCAAAGGTTACTTTAATGCAAAATAAGGAGCTCAAAGGATGTTCAACATTATTACAAGTTTGGGCATGGGAGAGGTTGGTTTTGAGACCACGATTATGTAAGATCCGAGAGTTAGATGGATAGATTCCACTAGGTTGTAGGTAAAATATCATTGAATTTAATTTTAAATTTAAAATTTTAAACAAAAACCTACCTTATATCATATTGCAGATGGAATGTCACTAAAGCCTACGATGAGACCCTGGCAAGACAATTAGATTTTTACAGAGGGGAGCTCGACCGGATGAAAATTTTCTAAGTATCGAATTTGAATTGAAGTCGTTTAAAGCTACCGATATATTTCAAAGAGTTATTAATATATGAATTATTTTGCAGTTCGAGTGGCAGCCATATACACCTTACCTACCACATCTACCGTTGATTTATATGGAGGGACACAGCATATGGAGGGTTAGAGTTCCTCTCGTTTGTTTCGAAATGTGAAGATACACGTGCCAGATCGCGTGTTTAGACAGTTTGGATTCACGTAGCACGCTCCAGAATATGTCAAACAAATAGAAAGAAAGGCTTTTAAAGGTGGCTATCAGATTGACTGGAGGAATACGCAGCATTCATACATTGCTAGATGGAATGACCGGCATCAACTTATTGTTGATCAGCTTTATCCTCCGATGGAGGCATTCATACATTGCTAGATGGAATGACCGGCATCAACTTATTGTTGATCAGCTTTATCCTCCGATGGAGGAAGTCGATTACATTAGATGGTATTGGCCGGCATCAACTTATTGTTGATCAGCTTTATCCTCCGATGGAGGAAGTCGATTACATTAGATGGTATTGGGGGATTATCATACATTGGATAATCACTCAAACCACGCCTCCGGTCGACGAAATCGAGATTCGCTCCTAACAATCCCGATATGTACCAAGAGGGGTAGATGAGAGACAATGAGTAAGTAAATTTCAAAAATTATAATAGAGTTTTCAATCTCTTGTTAGCTTTTGGTTTCTTATATGTATCGATATTTTCATGTAATTGTAGATAGACATTATGGACGAAGTAGAGGGGATTGCAAATGAGGGCATTGCTATCGTCACAGGAGATTCAGTACACGTATCATTCTTGCATGGGATAGTGGCGAGGGTTCGTAGAGCTTTTCGACAAACTCATGAGGATCGGCATGAAGGTCGCGAGCAGGTGGCGCATGAAGATACTTTATATGCACACTGACGAAGACGTGGTAGATCTTGCTTGCACGACACTGAAGCCGGTCCGTCACAGCAAGCGGGACCGTCACAGCCCCACACACAACCGGAGAGCGAGCATATACAAGCTCAAGTCGAAGGAGGTCGTCGGAGAGCTTTTCCACTAATATTAAATATTGTCGTATGGAATTATTGATATATTTGGATTTATTTAGCTTAGACTACATATTATCTTATGGGTAGACTTGATACATTTGGAATTGTTTAGAATTTTTTCGTATTGGTATGCATATGACATGTATATTGTGTTGTGATGTTCTGAATTGATTAAACTTGTTATTATCCGGTGTTTATTTTATAGAATTTGGATTTATTTAGAGTATTTTGTGATGTTGTGTATTTTATCGGATTTGTGTTGTGATGTTGTGTATTTTTCATATTTGTGTTGTGATGTTGTAAAGTTATAACTTTAATCAATGTATACAATGTGGATAATATTTTTTTGTAAAAATTTTGGTCAAATAATACTATATACGAAGCTAGAGAGGCGTGTGCATGTTTTTGTGCATGTTGTGCCTCTGCCCAGCAAACTACGGGACTACTAGTCCCATGGGTTTGCTAGGTAGAGGCAAAAAAAGTCTCTGCCTAACGTACAGGAATACTAGTCCCGTATGTTTTGATAAGCTCACAGAAAACATACGAGACTGGTAGTCCCGTATGTTTTCTATGAGCACTATTCGGTGATTAGTTCACTCAAAATATACGGGACTAGTAGTCTCATATGTTCTGAGTTGGGTGTTTTTTAAAATCGACCTCTTTTTGGCATGTTGGCCAAAAAAGATTGATTTTGCTAAATAATTAGCAAAATGACCGATTTTGCTAATTATTTAGCAAAAAATATCTTTTTTAAAAAAAATTCCCTATCAAATCCCCATCGTGACTAAGAAGCGTCTCTTTTGATACGCGGGTGTAAGTGGGAATAGAATGTAATTCTTACTTCTCATTCATACTTATCAAACATGATGCACTTTTAGTGTTAGAAATAACATTCTCACTTCTTATCGATTTCCATATAATGTGGGATTTGTTATTCCCAATGAGTTATCAAGAACTTGATATTCTCACTTAAGTGAGAATGAAAATAATAAAATAAATTTCGGATATATCATTCTTCTCATTTAATTCTCTAATCGCACCTAAACATGAGAATTGGAATGAGCGTTTCATTCCTACTTCATTTTTATTATCGCTTGACTCCATTTCCACGTACCAAATAAGACGTAAGAGGGGATTTGGTCTATTTGTCTTGCTTAAAAAGTTTTTTAATACAAAATCATTGTAGATTACGGTTGTTCGGGAGCCACGATGAAAATTTACTTATTCTAAAATCACCGGGATAATATGCACCACAAGCAAAGTGCCAGCAAATCATACTTTTTATCCATAGTTTATAAAATAAGAGTGTGAAATGACATAAAAGTCTGTCGTGACTAATTTTTGAAGGGGTGGGAAATGTTTGAAGGAAATTTAAAACCTTGGAGCGAGTTGAGTAAGCTTTGGAGGGTAACAAGATATTTTGTAAGGAGTAGAAAATATAATAAAAGATCGGTAGGTACCACTGTGAAAGTATTCTTGGGTTTTGACATATTATTTAACAAAACATCAACGGAAATTATGAGTCGGCAACTCTTTATTACAACGCATATTACTGTGATGCTTTAACTAGAACTAAAATTTTCATGGTGTTTCCTGAGAAATTATTTTACTTTATGGTGATCTTGTATGAAAAAAAAAACTATTTTCCTTCAAAGAGGAGTGGGGAAGGACAAAGAGTTAAAAAACTGTAACTATCCAAATAATGTGGTTGTTTATAACTTTTAGTCAACAAAGGGAATTGCTAAAAATCACTGCTAAAAAATGAGGCATCCTAGACGGAAAATTCCGTCTAGGATACCCAGAATTCCGTCTAGGATGCGTATTCTAGACGGAATTCCGTCTAGAATACGCGTCTAGTTTATTTCCGTCTAGTATGTAGTATTCTAGACGGAAATTCCGTCTAGAATACATCCTAGACGGAATATTCTAGACGGAATTCAAAACCGTCTAGAATACATCCTAGACGGATTATTCTAGACGGAATTTCCGTCTAGAATAATTTATCCTAGACGGAAAAAAATTCCGTCTAGAATAAGTATTCTAGACGGAAATTTCCGTCTAGAAATCTCATTCTAGACGGAATTTAATTTTTTAAATTTTTTTTTATTTTTTTAACTTTTAAAAAACATTCTAGACGGAATTTTAGTATCCTAGACGAAATTTCCGTCTAGAATACTATGCTACAGTTTTTTTTTTTTTTTTATATACTTTGAGTATATGTACACAATATTGAACAAAAAAAAATTATATTCATATCCAACACAATCTAATTAATTCCAATATAAAATCCAATTATATTTAAATAATACATTCACCAAAATAGTAGAGATACATAAATTATTTATAAACGTTTACATAAATTATTTACAATGGCTATGACACTGCTAGGAAAGAATGTATAATTCATCGATACATGATTAATAATCTATTTGAGTTCCTTTCTGTTCTTCCAGATTTGTTTAACATCATCCACCTCCTTCCAGAATGCCTCATAATAGCCAGGAATGCTGCAAAATGAAGAACGGTTATGCATAAGGCAAGGAGTTATCGAAGTAGAGTATCATATTTCTTAGTACAAGCTATTATCTAAAGCTATTATCTAAATCAGTTAGTAGATGAATCCAGCAGGAACAATTTGAGGAATAGTGTTCCACCAAGAATAGTAAAATGGAGAGTTCCTGTACCCAAAACAATTAATATTCAAAGAGCGTGCGATGAGGTACTTAATCTCAAAATGTGTGTATGCAGGAACAATTTTAGCTCCAGGGACAAGCATGGTAAGTATTAAGAATTATAAATTTCTGTTTGTATCATGAACAAATAATAATATCCCGAATGAATTATAAATTTCTGTTTGTATTAATGAAATCATACGAAACCTAAAATCATATGAAACCTACTGTAACATGAATTGCGTACCTGATTTGACATGAAATATACCTGTTTGAGATGAAAATAATCACACAAAACCTGTTTTCCAAGAAAAAAATAAACAAGACCTGTAATAACCTGATTATTCATAAATTTATGAAATACGTACCTGAATTAGCCAAACAAATTTCTGAAACCTATAAAAACATATAAACGGTCTGAATAGCCATGTTTTAGTATATAACATAGCAAATAGCATCGATCTTGATAATTTATGCATGTTGAACTTTATGTGCAAAAAATCATTTGAAAATATTTCTTGACATCATGTCAAATAAATCAGCCACATGTATATGCAAATTATGGCTGTGGGCTCAGAACTTGTTCAATATCATCATTGTTAGCCATCCAGTGCAATATCAACCGATATTGCAGGTTGCTAATCTCAGAAAAATTGACAATCATCATAGCCTAAATTAAACACCCACAAACAGCAAGACCTGTAATAACCTGATTATTCATAAATTTATGAAATACGTACCTGAATTAGCCAAACAAATTTCTGAAACCTATAAAAACATATAAACGGTCTGAATAGCCATATTTTAGTATATAACATAGCAAATAGCATCGATCTTGATAATTTATGCATGTTGAACTTTATGTGCAAAAAATCATTTGAAAATATTTCTTGACATCATGTCAAATAAATCAGCCACATGTATATGCAAATTATGGCTGTGGGCTCAGAACTTGTTCAATGTCATCATTGTTAGCCATCCAGTGCAATATCAACCGATATTGCAGGTTGCTAATCTCAGAAAAATTGACAATCATCATAGCCTAAATTAAACACCCACAAACAGTATCATAATCAACAAACAGTGCGGAAAATTTGAACACACATAGAACTCCAAGTGACTGAACCCAACAACCAAAAACAGAAGGAACAAAAACAGAAGGAATGAAATCAGCAACAACCAACAACAAGATCAACCAACAACCAGCAACCAGATCAACCAACAACCAGCAACCAGATCAACCAACAACAAGATCAACCAACAACCAGACCAACCAACAACCAGACCAACCAACAACCAGCAACAAGTAATGTGTATGTTTGTGATTCATCTGAAACAGAGGTTAATCACCAATTTTCATTTTCATAATATAAATGTACAATGTGAGGAAATGAGGCAACTGAAGGATGATTGCGACCCTACTTTGGATTGTTGGAAACATGAAGAAGCAGCAGATAATTATAGAAAATGAAAAATTGGTTAAGCATAGAATTAGTTTTTGCTGTTTCTCTCTTTCCTTTGACAATGCTCAGTCACAAATTAGATTTCCATCAAGCAAAAAAGAAAAAAGAGGACAGAAAATATGAAGCATATAGATATATACCAACATGAAATATCATAAAAGTCTGAAGAAAAAATTGGCAAGTTCAATTCATAGTAAAACATACCCTGTAATCAGTAAAACATACCCTGTAATCAGTAGAAATGACCGAATACAATGAGCTCTACACCTGAGACGAGGAACAACCAGATACAAGCATATGAATGAAAAATGAACTAAAAACAATAATTAGTCTTTAAAAGATTTCAATGTTATATCAAATTCGACACTTCAAATACCATAATAGAAAAATTAGGACATCAGTCTCAACTGAGAAGGAAATCTGAGACACTGGAAAAACAAGCTAATCAATTAGTTTACTCCAATATAAGTCAAATTGTTAGTCTGCAGTTAGGACTGATACCAAAAGTATTATTGACATCGGGAATTTTTTTTATATTTTTCACATATTCCAGTTTCAGAAATTAAGTAATTCATTTTACTGCTTTTATGTTCATGAGTAAATTCACAATCTTAAAAACAATATTGACATCCATATTCCCTTGCCTTGAAATTGACTAGGAGACATCAACAACTCTGTGACGACAATATATAAAGTGCATACTGTATTCTCATCTAGAGAACTTCATATCACAATTTTCATTTCCTTATATCTCAAAAACTATGAATTTGGTGTTTTATCACTGTCACGATGATATGTGACAGTTATGGAATATGCTTACTGTTAACAGAGGAACATCTACGCTAACAAAGCCAATAATCAAGTCAGTAGAAAAAATAATTACTTGAAATTACCATAATTATGCTACTAATTAATTACCATAATTATGCATACTGTATTCTAAAATTAAACCCTTAAAATTTCCTAGTGGTAAAATGGGTCTAACTAAAATGTCAATCCGGTAATTTAGCAATTTAGAATGAATCATAATCATCCACTGGATAATCAAAAGTGATAAAAAATAGTAGTCTCCCCAACTTCATATGCTATTTTTTTCCATCGGATTCTTAAAGTTTTACGCTTCTACCTTCCTTTGGATATGATTTTGTTTGTGACTTTTCTAAAAAAAAATCCACCAGAGAGGGGTTCGCAGTTTTCTTCTACCCCTCACGTTATCTCAAAACGAAGCGCACGTATAAGCTTGATAATAAAATCTAGCAAATAACAGGTTACAGTCATTGCGGAATTAAAGCAAACAGGTGGTAGGTAAACTCACTTTGAGACCCTCCTCAATTCGGCAGCCGCCGCTTGCCGCTGACATTCTGTTTCTATTTGTGCGCAATGGAAGGAGGAACTAGCGAGTAGCAAAAAAGATTTGAGTTTTCGGGGCTTTGGTCGATGCCGAATTGGAAAATATTCAAGTACTTGAGAGGCTCTGAGTTCAGCTTTATTTGCTTTAGGGTTTTCATATAGCATTTCAGATCATTGAATCCTGTATAAAATACATAGAGTGAATGAATGTTGATATTTAAGATGTCAAATATAAATGTTGGTCTTTGATATTTTCTGAAGGATAATGAATACTCACAAACTAAGCTGTTGATCAGAATTGATACTTGTAAGGCAGAAACACTAATAAGTTTAAAAAAAACAGAGAGAGAGAGAGAGGGTGGCGGGGGGATCGACTTGCAGGCGAAGCGATCGCCGGTCATCTTGTCGGCGACGAGGTAGGTGACGCCGAACTGGCCGCGGCCGAGCTCGCGGAGGAAGTCGTAGTGGCGGCGGACGTCACCAGCGGCGTTAAGAGGGCGGTTGAGGACGCGGCCATGGGTGCGGTGGGGGCGAGAGGGCAATTGGGGTTTGGGGTTAGGGTTAGGGTTTTGGAGTTGGGATTCTGTGGCCATGGGGGACTCAGAGTTGGCCATGGGGTGAGCTTGAGGAGGGAGAGGGAGAGGAGGGGGAGGCGGTGGAGGGAGGAGTAAGAGCTTGGAGTTGAAGATTTGGGGGGATGAGGCGCTGTGTTCCTGAAATTTTAGATTTGGGGGGATGAGGCGCTGTGTTCCTGAAATTTTGTGGGAAAGGAGGGCGGCTGGGGTTTTGACGGATTTTTTTTAAAATGGTCAGTTATTCTAGACGGAAATTTCCGTCTAGAATACCTGGTTTTTTTTTAAAAAAAAATAAAAAATAAAGAAACCGTCTAGGATACTATTCTAGACGGAATTTTCCGTCTATAATGTTTTATTCTAGACGGAATATTCTAGACGGAAAATTTCCGTCTAGTTTAATACATTCTAGACGGAAAAAATTCCGTCTAGAATACACGATTTTCTACTAGTGAATGTATTAATCTATTTTTAAACCTCGTAAGAAACATATGGATCGAGAGGATTTTAAATGAAAATTTCTCAAACTTCAAAGATTGTCTTTAGAGAAATTTTAATTTTTAACTAGCAGCTTTCTCTAATTAAGCACAATTTAGATCATGCAAACTTCAAAGGCTTGGACATTTTGTAAATTAATAGAACACCTCGTAGGGTGCGCAGTGGGAAGTGAGGGACCTGCAAAAAATAGGTTGTATTTGAAGATCATCTCTGAACTTTGCTACGTGGGATGAACTAGAAAACAACAGTGGGTACTAACTCTGACCCAAGAGCAACCGTAGAAAAAAAAGGGAGGGGATTTTCTCCTAACCTAAGCGGGTTGCGTTATCTACCAGCAGCTTGATATCTCTTAGCCAGAGGGTGGGTGCCCCACGCTTCTCTAGAAGATGACCAAGGGGGATAACACTAACTAGGGAAAAAAGAGCAAATACAACGGGAGGGGATTTTCTCCTAACCTAAGCGGGTTGCGTTATCTACCAGCAGCTTGATATCTCTTAGCCAGAGGGTGGGTGCCCCACGCTTCTCTAGAAGATGACCAAGGGGGATAACACTAACTAGGGAAAAAAGAGCAAATACAAC